ATTTATTTCCTGTTGTTGTTAAATTTTCACGATATGGGGGAAAAGAAAAAAAAAAAAAATCTCAGATAACAACTTTTGATTGCAATTAAAAAAAGAAAATGATTACGAAAATTCTTTTGCGTCGTTTCGAAATTAAAACTATTTGCACTGCGTTTCTATGTTATAGGTGTAAATGAACTTCTAATTAAAAAGAGTTACGAGTATTTTGACATCGTTTACGAAAATTATTATTATTATTATTATTATTATTATTATTACTATTATTATCAGCGTTATTGATAAAAAAAAAAAAAAAAAACAAAATTTTGTCGTATTAATAATAACAAAAAGTTGTTGTGCATTTATAATTTATACGATTTTTTAAAAAAAAAAAAAAAAAAAAAGGCCGGTTGCAGTGGATGCAGAAACGAACGAAAATACGCGATATTTCCGGTGACGTAATAATAATAATAATAATTTTTTAAACGCTCTACTTATTTACTTGTTTTTTTTTTTTTTTAGAATTTCGCGTTTGAAATTTCGAAATCGGAGACAATCGAAATAATGGGAAGATTTTTTTTTTTTTAAAATGACGAATAACGATATAAACGTACTACGCGGTTAAAAAACAAAAGTAAATAAATAGTTTAAAGTTCATTTTAGAAAAAAAAAAAAAAAATGGTCGTCATTTAAAACCCACGATAATTTTCTTTTTTTTTCATTTTTAAAGTAAATTAAATTAGGTCGAAAACCTTGGCGCAAACGCACACGCACACGCAAAAAGGCCGAAAAAAAAGAAATTTAATAAATTTCCTTTTTGTTTTTTTTTAGGGAGTTTTATTCGGGTGAACCTTCTCCATTTTTTTTATTTTTTAGTTTTGTCTTTTTTTGGAAAATTTCTTTGTAAGCTTTTTTTTTAATTTTTTAAAGTTGCCTAAACTGAATAAAACTTTTTTTTTTTTTGTAAGCAAAAATGATTGCCATAATAATAATAATGATAAAAATGGATATTTTAAATTTGTTCGAAACCTAAAATTTTTAACGAGTTAAATATTAATAAAAAGAATGATTTCATCGATCGATCGATTAAGGGAGAGGGAGAGAGGGGGGGGGTAAAAAATAAGATTGGAAAATTTTACGATTCGTTTGTTTGCTTCGTATAAATAATAATAATAATAATAATAAAACTAGTATTACTCCTACTATTGTGCTACTATTACCACTACTACTACTATTTCTTTCTTAAACTGCTACCACGTTCAATTTCTATGGATTTAAATTCTTTTGTTGGCGTTTGACAAGGGGGAGAAAGAGAGTGAGAGAGAGAGTGAGAGAGAGAGAGAGAGAGAGAGAGAGAGAGACGTACAACGTATTTGTTTAAATCGACTTGTTACATATAAATAACTTATTGTGTTGTTTTCCGTTTTTTTTTTTTTTTTTTTTTTTTTTTTTCTTGTTGCGATTGAATAAAAGGTTAAGGTTACGAGTAAAAAAATTTTGGGGAGATAAAAATTCTTTTTTTTGAAATCGAAGGGGGCGACTTAAAAAAAAAATGAAAATAAAAAATTTTTTCTCTTATTTGTTGCGATTGGATTTCGTTTGTCGTAAAAATTTCGTTTTGCCGATATTTTTAACGGTTTAAAGTTTTTTTTCCGCGGCGTTCGTTAAACCTTTTCTCGTTGAAATCATTGCCCCCTGTGTTTTATTATTGCTTTTTTTTTTCTTGTTATCTAAACGTGTTTTTACCCGGTTTGTAATGAATTAATATTTGATATGAGGGCGCCGTTACGCGATTGTCGCAACGACAAATTTAAAAACAAAAAAAAATTTCTTCAATACAACACAATTGATAACAATGGATGGAAATAAACATGTGATATTTCTTACATTGATTCCTTCAACCTTTTTTTTTTTTTATTGTTTTTTATTGTTTTTGTTGTTGTTGTTGTTTTAAACGTTAACGTGTTTCACATTCAATTATTATTATTATTATTATTATTATTATTATTATTATTATTGTTATTGTCGCTGTAATTCGCGACAAATTTTTTTTCTGACTCGTCGGAATTTGCCCAGAAAAAAAATCATTCGTTCCGAATTTCTATGGGATTCCCTGAGAAAAAACGTTCTTAAAAACCGGTGGAAATATTTACAAAAAATGATTATTATTATTATTATTTGTTTTACTAAGAACCTGCTCGAATATGTTTTTTTTGTTCAGAAAAAGACTTTTAGTCTGTACATAGATCAAAGATTGGATTCTTTCGAGCGAAAAAAAAAAAAATTTTTTTTCCGTCTTTATCGTTTATTTTTCCCAATGAATTTAATTTTATATTCACGTGATGACGACACGCACGTGTATTACACGTTTGTCGTCGTTATTAATTAATTAAAACGAACAAGGATTCGATCGAGAAAATTTTTTGGTGTGATGTAAACCCGAATTCGAGTCTCCCGAAAATTTTCTTTTTTGCTTATTTTATCGTCTATTTATTTAATTTTTTTTCTTTTTATTTTTCAGCATCGAGAAAAGAAGAAGCGGATGCGATAAGAAAAAAATTCCCCACGAAAGTACCTGTGAGTATCAGAGAGAGAGAGAGAGAAATAAAAAATAAATAGTTGTAATAATAATAATCATAATAATGATAATAATGATGACGTCGACGACGACGACGACGACGATTGTGTTTTTGATCGGAGTGAGAAAAATTTTCTCCTTCGATGACTTTTACGCATCAAAAACATCAAAGACGCAAAAAAAAAAAAAAAAAAAAAAAATTTCTTTTTAATTGCTTCGCATCGAATAACTATTACTATTATTATTATTATTGTTATTTTCAAAGAGCATTGTTTCCCGTTTCGCGTTTTTTTTTTCCATTCTCATTTTTTTTTGTTTTCTCATTTCCCAACAGATAATCGTTGATAGATTTCACAAGGAATCAAATCTTCCGCAATTAGAAAAATCAAAATTTTTGGTGCCACAGGAAATAACCATGTCGCAGTTTGTCACAATTATCAGGTACGTTTCATCAAAAAAAAAGAAAAAGAAAACAACTGTAAAAGGGAGCAAGAGAAAATAAAATCATGACGTCATCGTTTTTATTCGGTTATTATGTTAACCGTTAAAAAATTATTTTGTTTGAAATTCTCAATTCTCGAGATGACGTCGATGATGACGATCGATCGATGATGATAATGATAATAATAATGATGATGATGATGATGATGATGAGGAAATGTATTACAGTAATTTTTAATTAATCACCGGAAATTAAAAAAAAAAAAGAATTCAAAGGTTTTTTGGGTTAAAATTCCCACGTAAGTGCCCGAAATCGGAAAACTATGAAAACGTTTCACGATAGTAATAATAATAATAATAATAATAATAATAATAATAATATTAGTTGTATAGATTTAAGAAGGAGAGGTTGTATATATAATTTTTCTTACCGTTTAAATTTGTTTCGTCTCGTTAATCAGGTATCGTTTCCTTATTTCCTTTCGAATGTCCTTTATCCACGTTGGTTTCCGGTATCCTTTTCGAATGATTTGTACGTATCCCGAGACCTGATTTGAATCCTGTCGGGGAGAAAAAGAAATTTCGATTAAATTTTTTTTTTTTTTTTTTTTGCGAATTTTTTTCGCAAACCATGGAAGTTTTCCTAAAAATCGTGTATAATAATTACGTTTGTCTCGGGGGGAGGGGGAGGGGGAAAAATTTAATTTGAATAAGGACACGATAAGAAGAGTGATAATGAAATAATTTTCCCCCCCCCCCTGTAATTGTAAAATCAAGTAGCGTAAAATTATGTAACAAACCGAAGTAATTAATTAAGTTAATTAATAGTTTCGAGTTTGTTACATTGGTAAAATAATAATAATAATAATAATAATAATTTTTCTGTTTTTTTTTTTTGTTTTTTTTTTCAGGAATCGAATGAAATTAGGATCGAATCAAGCTTTTTACCTACTCGTTAACAATCGATCCATGTTGAGCCTGTCGAAAACATTATCGGAAGTTTATAAGGATCATAAAGAAAAAGATGGATTCCTTTACATGACATATGCATCGCAAGAGGTTTTCGGTTGAAAAAGGAGAGAAAAAGAGAGACGACATCATCATTGACATATTGTACATTTTTTTTCTTTTTTAACTTCTTTCTCTCTCTCTCTCTCTCTCTCTACCTCATTTCTTCGTTTTATCATTATCACTATTACTACTATTACTGCTACTGCTACTACTACTGCTACTTCTATTATTATTATTGTTATTGTTATTGTTAATTAAACGAACGTGTTCTCGCCTGTGCATAGAGGTAAGGTTTAGTTTTTTTAAAAAAAAAAAAAAGAAAGAAAATTTCAAAAAAAATTTTTATTTTTTTTTTCGAGTCGGTGGTGAAAACGACTCGCGAAAAGAACCTCTTATTATTATTATTATTATTATCATCATCATTGTTTTAAAATTTCGATGATTCTTTCATAAGTTCGATGGGTCATCGGTAATTCGATTCAAACGGAAATATTATTTCCTTTGATATTCCAACTTTTTTTTTCTTTTTTTTTTGTGGAACAATCTCGAAAAAAAAAAGAAAAAAAAAAAAAAAATTAAAAGAGGACAACGTTCGGGGCAGATAAATAACACAATCAGATTTAATTAAACCGTTCGTTCGTTCGTTGGTTGTTTTGTCAATGTTTGTAAAGATAACAAAATTGTTGTTGTTGTTTTTGTTTTTGTTTTTCAACACGTTTTTTTTTTTTTTTTTTTGAAATTTATCATTTTTCGAACGAACAAAAAAAAAGAAATGTTAGTTTTAATAATAATAATGATAATAATAATAATGATGATAAGACAATAAAATGATGATTTTGTAAATGAGTTTGCCCGTAAATTTTTAATATAAATCAAAAATGGCTTCGATTTTTTTTTAATTAAATTTTTTTTTTTCTGTTTTTCAGGTAAAATATTTTTTTACAGTTCGTTTTTGTAAATTATTATTATTATTATTAATACGGAAAAGAAATCGGAAAATACGTCATTAGTAGTATACATAAACGTACAGGGAAGGAAAAAAAAAAAAGGGAAAACTATAGCGAATCGAAAAATATTTTTTTTGGATTTTAGTTAAAATTATTATTATTATTATTACTATTATTATTATTTATTATAAATATTTATTTTTAATTTTGTAAATATTTGAGAGAAAGAAAGAAAGTACGAAATAAAGTAAATAATAATAATAATAATTGTGTAAATAAAAATAAAAAATAAAATAAATTTAATTAATTAATCAAATTTTCTTTCTTTTTTTTTATTGTTGATTGAGGCCATTATTATTTTTATGTACAGTATTATTATTATTATTTAATTTTTTTTTTTATCAAAAATTAAATTATTTATTTTGAATTGTTTTTAAATTTTTTGTGAAAATTACTAATTTTTAATTCTTTTTTTTTTTTTATGGATACTAATTCAAAACTGTTATTTGGTTAAAATTGATTGTTTTAAGTTACACGAATAAATATTTTAAATAATTTTAATATTGTAATTTAATAAAAAGAAAAATCTGGTCTCAAATCAATAATTTTTTTTTATACACAGGCGACATTTATTTATATAAAAATTTTAATAATCGTTAAATTATTTATAAAATAAATAAAGACATCATTATTATGTCATTGTTTCTTTTTTTTCTTTTCTTTTGCAAATATTTTTTTTATTGTTTTTAATAAAATTTAATAAATTATAAATTTTTTTATTATAAAATTTTAAATTGATTTTTTTTTTTCTATACTTCATTTTTTTTTTTTTTTTTTGAGTTTACTTCCTCTGGCAATATTTTTTGTTTTGTTTTATGATTTGTATTATATAAATTAATGATAATTTCTGTAACTATGAATAGTTTTTACACATAATTATTAATTATTTTTTTAGATTTTTTAGGTTAGATTTCAAAATTGAAATGTAATAATGGTTAATAATTTTGTTACCTGCGTTCAAATTCTTGTATTTTGTTCAATAGAAATTACTTTCACCAGGAAAAACAATTTTTTTATATCAACACTTTTATGAAAAACAAAGTATTTACCGTATAACATTTAAAAAACTCTTTAAAAATTTTTTTAATACGAATAAAATAAATTATTTCTTAAAATTCACCTTAAAACATTTATTTTCAAATTTGTTACTTTAAGGAATTCGAATAAATTTTCCGTTACGATTCAAATTTAAGTTGGCAAAACTGAAATATCAAAAAAGTTATTTTTATTTATATTTAATCATGGCTGATGATATTCCGTTACAGTTTACAAGACAAGAAAATATTATACTTCAAAATAGTTTATTATGTTTAGTTAAAGCTTTAGAAAATCGTTGTACGACGATAGATTTAAGAAATGAAATGTCCGTTACTGGGAAAATTACTGAAGTTGATGCGTAAGATTAAATTTTGTAAAAATAAAATTTTTCATTTGAAAACTTCTTTTTTTTTATTTCCAATACCTTCCTATATTTTAGGTATATGAATATTGTTTTAAGTGATGCTGCAGTGTTTGATACAGATGGAGAATGTCAGTATTTTCCAGTGTTGCACGTTCAAGCAAGAAATATAAGAAATGTACATATTCCAGACAATGTGAGTTAATGATATTTAATTTGAAACATTAAATTTTATGAATTTAATTCGAAACTTTAAAATTTTTGTGCCATGCTGAAAATGTATAAAAATACTAATTATGTTAGTTCTTTTGATATTAAAGCTGTATTCATTTACTTTGGATTTTTGCCATTACAGGTATCTATTATGCAAGCCATTAAAAGTCAGTTGAAAACAAATTCACCGAAAATGAATAAAAAGTTAACATTTAAACAAAGTCGTGCCAAAAAACAACATTTAGAAACATTGAAATTAATCGAAGAAACCAAGAAAAACCAATCGAATAAAAATGAAACATAACAAGAAGAAGTTAATCTAAAACTATATACTTAATAAAATAATATGTAAAATTACAATCAATATTTAAATAAAAATAAGTTACACAAATTAATCTTTAAAATTTTTTGTCATCCATTCAAACACTTTTAACTTATCATAATGTTTTTATTTTTGTTGTTAATTTTGCTTTGTGGTGAAATAAATAGACCTTAAAAGGTCAAACTATAAATTTTACTTGTTAGTTTAACCAATAATAAAGTTGTTGACATAAGTGAAAATATTTAAGACAAAAATAATATTGCTAAGTTTTACCAAGAATAATAAAGTGAAAAAAGTATTTACAATCATTAAATTGCTTTTTAACCTCAATATTCATTTTTGCATACTTTTTTAAATTTGAACATGTACATCAACTAATCCCAGCATATTGAGCACGTTTACGCCTTTCAAAAATAAAATATGCTTTTGTATTAAATATTTGTATTGTTGGTCAAACTGAAAAGTCATAAAAATGGCGGATCCATTAAGTCTTCTTAGACAATATAATGTTAATAAAAAAGAAATTATTGAACGGGATGGTCAAATTATATTCGGTGAATTTTCTTGGCCTAAAAATGTAAAAACAAATTATCTGATCTGGGGGTAAATATTTATTTTTTGATTAATTTATTGAAACAAATTACCCTCTCATTAAGTTTATGGTTCCCTAATGTTTGTTTACACCTTATTTCCTGTTATGAATTTCATATTCAGTGTTATTAAAATATGAATTAAAGTTTTAAATCACCTCAAGTACATTGATTTTAATGTACCCTCTTATTTTAGATCTGGAAAAGATGGTGCACCAAAAGAGTATTACACATTGGAGTGCCTTTTATTCATATTAAAAAATGTTCAACTCACTCATGCTGTATATGTTAGGCAAGCAGCTGTAAGCAATAAATTATTATTTTAAATTTGGCAATAATTATTCATATTCAAACAAAAGTAAAATTAGTTTTTAAATGTATTTATTTATATTTAACAGGCAGAGTTAATTCCTGCTGTAAGACGTCCAGATAGAAAAGATCTTTTAACTTATCTCAATGGAGAAACTTCAACATCAGCGAGTATTGATAAATCAGCTCCTTTGGAAATTCCCACTCAGGTATAACTGTTTAATAACAAATCCTAATAAAAATTTATATTCTACATGTGAATTAAATATAAACTATTTTATATTATTTTGTTCAGGTGAAAAGAACGGCTGATGAAAGTTTAGAATCAGTTTCCAAAAAGCCAAGATTTGAGGAGACACAAGTGCAAAAAGTAAAAGAACAACTTGCTGCAAGATTAGATGCCCCTAAGGAAGCATCGGTAACTGTTGACAATATAAAGTAAGTTTAACGTTGTACCTGTAACAAATAATCATTTCATCTAATAATAAGAAAAACTGATGTTTTGCTACCTTTAATTTCAGGTCTCTTTCGGAGGCTATGTCTGTAGAAAAAATTGCTGCCATTAAAGCAAAAAGATTAGCCAAAAAAAGAACAACTATAAAAGGAAATGATGACATCGGATTAGGTTCTGATCTAAAAGTAATGCTTGATTTCGATGTTGATGTAACAAAAGACATTGTTTCGAGAGAAAGACAATGGAGAACAAGAACTACTATTCTTCAAAGCGCTGGAAAGGTAAAAAAAAAAAAAATTTAAAATTAAATATTTGACTGTGGATATAAAAATTAAATTGTTTTTTTTTTTAAATTTAGGTTTTCGCGAAAAATATATTTGCCATTTTACAATCAATCAAGGCCAGAGAAGAAGGCCGACATAGACCACCTGTTCCTGCTCCTATGGTGACACCCAGAGCCACGCCAGCTCGGCCGGCTCCTCAACCGGCTGTGTATAATCGTTACGATCAAGAACGATTTATTCGTCAAAAAGAGGGTGAGAAATTTATTTTTTTTTTCGGGCAAGAACTAAAGGAAAATCCTACGTAATTTAGTTATAAATTATTAAACACATTTATTTTGAATTTTTTAGAAACTGAGGGCTTTCAAATCGATACAATGGGTACATATCACGGAATGACGTTGAAATCAGTGACTGAAGGAACACAGCCGAAAAAAGCTCCCACTCCAATGCCACCGGTTGTTCAAACCCCCTCACCCTCCCTTCGTCCAAGCACTACCCCTAATAAAAAAGTATCTAGAACACCCATAATAATCATTCCTGCAGCAAGTACTAGTCTAATTACCATGTATAACGCTAAAGATATTTTACAAGACTTAAGGTAATATTTTTCTTTTGACAATTTTTCCGACAATTTCCCCCAATTTACTTAATTTTATTTTCACTCCTCAGATATATAACCACCGAAGAAAAAAAAAATAGCGGTGCCAAAAGAGACAATGAAGTTTTATTACAAAGGCGAAAAGATGGCGTGCTAACGGTACCTTACAGAGTTATCGACAACCCACAAAAATTAACAAATGCCGACTGGGATAGAGTGGTAGCAGTTTTCGTCATGGGACCAGCGTGGCAGTTCAAAGGTTGGCCTTGGGATGGAAATCCGGTTGAAATATTTGCCAAAAGTACGATAAACGCCATATTGTTATAAAGAAACAAAATATTCTTCATTCCGTCGATCTTAGAAAAAAAATAAAATTTTTTATATATATTTCGATTTCAGTTTGCGCGTTTCATTTAAAATACGACGAAATGCGATTGGATACGAACGTTGGTAAATGGGCGGTTAACGTTATAGAATTATCAAGAACGAAACGTCACTTGGATAGAGCAGCTCTTATGTTATTTTGGGAAAAACTAGACAAGTAACAAGTTTTACAAAAGCAAAAAAGTAACGAATTTGGTACGTTAATTAATATTAAATTTATTTATTTAATTTTTTTTGCAGGCATATATTAAAACACAAGCCTCATCTTCGATTTTAAAAGAAAAGGAAAGAAAAAGAGAAAAAGAAAATTTAGAAATATGACGTCATTAACGTTTTTATACGGTTCTGCGTATAGTTGTCGAAAAAGGAAAAAACGTTTTCGTTTTTCACATATAGTTTTATTTAAAGAGAGAGACTGCATTTTAAAAATCAAACAAAAAAAAAAAATTAAATTTTATATTTAAAACGTCTTTTTTTTTTTTTAAAAATAATAATAACTTTTTGTAAATATTACTACTCGAATGCACGTTTAAAATGTGTCGTACCGGAAAAAAAAAAGAAAAATGAAATAATATAAATGGGAAATACAAAAAAAATATTTATTTATCATTCGATAAATAAAATTTATTATTCTAAAAAAAAAGAGAGAATGATAATAATGATAATGTTTTAAAATGTTTAAATTTTATTAATGTCATCGCATTACAAAAAATGAAAAAAAAAAAGTTTAAATAAATATATTGTAAAAATATATCAATCAATCAATAAATAAATATATGTAATGAATAATTGTGTTTTTTTTTTATTTATTAATTTTATTATTATTATTATTTTTTATAAAACCGCGATGAGAATTATTGATAATAATGATTGCGGAAAAAACAAAAAATTTATGGGATTTTTAGTTATTTATTTTTAATTTAAAAAAAAAAATATATTTTTTATTACTGCTACCTAATGTTACGATTTAATACTCCCCCCGCCCCGTAAATTAAAAATTTCAAGGAGCGAAACGTTGCTGCGGGGGAGGAAGTGAAGGGAAAAGGGGGAAGGCAGGGAAGAGGGGGAGGGGGGAAAAGAGAAAAATATTTTTAAAAAATTTTAAAACGTTGAATTTTTTTTCTCTTTTTCCCTTTTTTTTTTTTTTTTTACCTTTTTAATTACTAAAATTATAATTTAATTATATATAACGTAAAAATGTTTTTTTTTTTTTTTTTTTGCTTTTTTTGCCTTTTAAAGAGTTCGTGAGTGGTTGCAAGGTAATTTTAAATTTTTTTTTTTTTTAATAAAAAAAAATTTTTTTTTTATTAAAAACATTTTTTAAAAAAGGATTCCAAAAAAAAAAAAAATTATTTTTTTAAATTCCACTTGAAAAAATAATAATAATAATATTTTAAGTCATTTATTATTAAGCATCATCATCATCATTATCATCATTTATTTGTTAGAATACTATTACAATTATGTAAAATTTAAAACGCGAAAGAAGAAGAAAAAAAAAAGCGAAATCATGTGAACAAAAAAAAAATTATTATTATTTTAGGTCAATGACAGACGAGACGTTTTAAAAAAAATACATAAACATAATCGATGTGAAAACCTTTTTTTCAAGGTTAAATTATGCCTTATCAGAGAAAGAGAAAGAGAGAGAGAGATAGAGAGAGAAAGGGAAAGAGTTCAAATGTAAACATAAACAATTTTTTTTAATTTTTTTCATATTCGAAAGTGAAAATCATATTTCAACGTGAAATGTTAAAGAAAAAAAATTTAAATTCGAATCGTTAATTTGTCTTGAAGAGTGAAACAAATAATAATAATAATAATAATAATAATTGTTAATTAATACGTCAAAGTGAAATTTATAAAACAATGTGATGTGCAAATGAAAATTTTTATTACTTTTCTTTTAAGAAATCTTATCGAATGTATTAAAAAAAGACAAAAAATGATGAATGAAAAATTTTTTTTTTTTTTTTTAAATTATGAAATTTTCAGAGGATTACATATCTTTTATCTCCATATAAAAAACAAAAACAAAGAAAAATTATGATTTGTTATCAATGAATGAGATAACATTGTTGGCTTTCGAACAAAAAAAAAAAAAAATGGACGTACAATGACAGATTCGACATCATCGATACAATCATGTTCAAATGTCAAAACCGTCTTTTCCAAAATTAAAAACATTTTATTATGATTCGTAAATTTATGACACAAAAGAAAAAATAATAAAACATGTTTTGTTATGATTTACAAATTATAACACAAAAAAAAATTTAATAAGTTATGTGTGTTATGTTTCCCGACAACAACTAATTCTGTCCACCACTTGTCATTGAGCTTTAAGATGCAAATTTATATGATTTATTTAATATTCTAATGACACGATCTCTCCATTAAGTGAGGGGAAGGGAAATAGAGACAAACACACTATAGCTATTAAACATTGGAACAAGTTTTAACAAATTATTAGTTAATGATTTGTTTCTATTGATTTACTTGTAATTAGTGGCTCCAAAGCTAGGGACTCTAGTCTAGTGAGTTTGGTCTATTAGAGTCAGATATAGTCTAGAATCAGTCGATTGATTTCTAATTCTACTCTTATTGTACATTGTGTTTGTGTTTGGGTTTGTATTGTTTATACTGCATTAGTACAAGTTGTACTAAAGAATTAGATAGAAACCGTCTAGCTTATTGTATGATAAGTCCTCCTAAACACCTACTAGCTAACAGGATTATAATACACCACGAGTAGAAGCACAAAGTAGAGATTTTGGCGCCATTATCGAGATAACGTCAACATCATTTCTCAATCAGAAAATCATAAATAGTTCTAAAACCACAAATCTAACGAAAACAGATTTTAACACTTTATCTATAAAACTCGACTACACCTCAAATTTTGAGTCTTCTGCTATTTACATCAGTTTAATTTTCATAAAATGTAAACAAAGAGATCATTTATCCCCCTTTTGTTGTTTAAATAAAAGTTTAATAAGTTTTCACGTATTAATATATATATCATAAATACAACAAACGACAGGAAAATAACTTTTAGAAACTTTATAAGTAAAAAAAAAAAAAAAGAGAAAGAAAATTAATACTTTTCAAATAATATTTTCCTAAAAGAAACATTTTAACTAATAAGTTTTATTCCTTCGTAATAAACAGATTAAAAAAAAACTATTATCATTATTATTATTATTATTGTAAAACGATTCGATTTATTATTTGGAACAAAATCTGAAATCTTGGAAAATTATTAAATATAATTTTAAACAATTAATTTGATGATTTGTTGAAACAATATTTAAAAATAATTTTGTTAAATGTTTGTGACTATTCATTAAATAATAATAATAACAATTTTTTTTACCTTATCATATCCGGCAAAAATTTTCTTTTTAATTAATTTGTATAAAGTTTTTAATTTTTGTGAAAACAAGTTGTAGAAGTTTTTTTTTTTTTTCATTTGCCAAAAATATTTTTTTCCAATTTAAATTCGTATTCGTACAACAATAAAATTTTTTCATAAAAACTTTTGTGATGACGTTTTAGACGGGAAAATAATTTTCAAGTCGTACTCCCGCCCTCTCGTCTTCCCTCCCCCTCTCCTTTTTTTTTGGCAAGATTTCTATTTCTTAAGATAATTTGAAAAAATATATTCTTACCTGAAACAAATTTAAAATGAAAAAAAAATTAATTTTTTTATTGTATTAATTGGAAAAAGAAAATTTTTTACACAAAATGAAGGAAAAAAAAATGAAGGATGAATAAAATTAATATTTCACTTCGTTTCACACGCACGAACACACGCACGCACACAAGCACACGCACATATTTCTCGTAATTTTATATATTAAAAAAAATATGTACCCTTATTTCATTAACGACATATAAATAAATAAATTTTAATTTGTATATAGTTCCTTATTGCACGAAACGAGGAGAAAAATTTTCCGGAAATACTTTATCCAATAAAATTTTTTATTTTTATTTTTTTTCCTAATTGACTTTTACAAATCGTTTAAACTCCATCAGATAAAAGTCATTTTGTATTGATTAAGTGAAATTTTGGGAAAAAACGTTTGGAGAAGACGGAAAAACGGAGGGAATTATTTTCGAATAAGGAAAAACATATAAAAATCATTCATCCGTTTAATTTATTTACCTTTGATGTCAAAAGATCAATCGTTTGAAATTTAAATTTTTTTTTT